TAATTAGACAACATTTAAATATTTCTTTTTAACTAATTTTAATTTTGTAATTGTTATTGATGTATTTTTTAACTGATTGTCAGCCGCCCTGAGTCCGCAAGGAGAAGGGCGGGATATAAATTCAATAAATAAATAAATAAATAAATAAATAAATAAATAAATAAATAAATAAATAAATAAATAAATAAATAAATAAATAAATAAATAAATAAATAAATAAATAAATAAATAAATAAATAAAGCTGGATCTGGAAAAATGGAAAAGCTTGTAATTGTCAATACTAGGAAAAATTGCTACAGTGAAAATGAACATACTACCGAAAATCTTATTCTTATTTCAAACAATACCTATAAAACTTGAGAAAAAATTCTTTAAAGACTTGAATTCACTAATTTTGAAATTTATTTGGCAAGGAAAGAAAGCTAAAATTAAGATGAAAATGTTACAAGATGCCAAGGAAAATGGAGGACTTGGTCTACCGGAGTCGGTTTTATATTATCAAGCATCTGTATTAACATGGGTAAAAGAATGGATAACTCTTAGAAATAAAAGGCTGTTATATCTGGAGGGGCATGATTTACAATTGGGGTGGCACGCTTTTTTATGGTGCGGGAAAAATAAAGTTCATAAATATTTCCAAAATCATTATATAAGAAATGCATTATTAACAACATGGGAAAAAATAAAATGTAAAATATATTTGAAAATTCCAGGGTGGTTGTCAACAATGGAAGCATTTGTACACCCAAATTTAGTGAACTTTGAAAAAATCTGGACATATAGAGATAGTCTAAACTCTGAAGGGAATTTAAAATCTAAACAAGAAATGGAAAATCAGGGTATCAATCTATCATGGTGGGCACATTTACAAATGCAAGCTAGATATGATAAAGATGTTAAACTGTATGGATTTTATAAGGAACAAATTGTGTTTGGTAAGACATTGTTAACTTCTGATGAGAAACTAATTAAGAAAATGTATATTTTTCTATTAACTTTGAAAATGGAAAGTGAACAAGTTAAAGAAACAATGATAAGATGGGTGAAAAATTTTGGATATAATATAGAATTAGAAAAATGGCAAAATTTATGGGAAAGAAATTACAAACTGACAATGTCAACTTCTTACAAAGAAAACTTATATAAAATGTTCTATAGATGGCATTTGCCACCAGCAAGATTAGCAAAAATGTTTAAAAATATGTCAGATAGATGCTGGAAATGTAAATATAAGTCAGGCACGTATTATCATGTTTGGTGGACATGTGACAAAGTAAAGAGTTATTGGAAAAAGATACATACCTGGCTAGAAAAGATGTTGGGAGAACATGTAGATTTTAACCCTGAACTTTTTTTATTAGGTATAATGCCAGAAAAGACTAACAAACAAAGCTTATATTTGATTTTGCATGTCATAACAGTGGCAAGAATTATATTTGCGCAATACTGGAAAAATGAAGGAATACCATCAGATGAAGAAATAAATCAAAAAATACTAGAATGTGCAGAGATGGACAGACTGACTATGAGACTGAAAGAAAAAGAAGAAACGGAATATTATAAAACTTGGGACTTATTTTATCGATGGCTAGAGGAAAGAATAAAAGATTAGGAATGAAATATGTATTAGTGAATGTATGGGGAAAAAAACTAATAGAAACTTTTACAAAAAAAACCAACAAAACCCAGTCCTGAGCAAACCAGTATACCTGACAGCAATCAAAGGCAGAACATCCCAGTAAGTGGTGAGAAGAGCCCAGCAACCTCAGTGAGGTTGGAGAAACTCTTAGTACAAAGAGGGCCAATCTTCACCCGTAGTGGCAGACATTCGCAACTACTCAACAGACTCAACCTATAGAAAGTGTTGTTACTGGGTCTCATCCAAAATTTCATAATGTTGTTTCGTTAACATGAAAAGGGGAAGATGTTATGGGTGTTATGTTTACCTTATATGCAGCCCTAACATTCATCTCTATTATATTTGTTTCTTGTGTCATATTGCTACTCTATGATTCATCACTATTGTTCCTGTGATGCATTTCCGGTTCCTGTAGTTGAATTCCCTCTCTAAGAAAGATAGCTTTTGCACAGTGAGGCCTTGTATTGTATTTACTGACTCCACATGAAACATTTACCTGATTTCTAAAATTATAGTTACAAAAGAATTGCTAAGGGAAGAGGGGGAAAATTTCTCTATAGACCATCTTTATAGACTTCCAACAATGTGGGAGCAAAAAAAAGAGAATAAAATAAAATGCCTTATAGGAAAACCACACCTAATCTCAGTAATTTAATTGTAGCAAAGATTTCTTATAGAGACAAAGATGCACCTTCTAAATTGTTTGACCTGTTTACTCAACTGCAAAAAATGTTTAAATGCCATTTAAATTTTTTTCTCCAATACTGTTTTTAAAATAATTCTTTGCAATGGTTGTAATGATTCTAGAACTGATGATGTCATTAAAACAATGTTAAATCTGTAAATAAATGTACACACACATAGACAGACAGACACACAGATACAGGCACACAGAGACACACAGCATTTCTGACAAGCATGGAAGACAATTCTATTGGTACATCTGAAGTTCACATATATCCATTTTTATGTGCACTGCCTTGAGCATTTTATTTTAGCCTGAAGCAGAGAAAGAAAGAGAAGGAAGGAAGGAAGGAAGGGAGAGAGGGAGGGAGGGAGGGAGGAAGAAAGGGAGGAAGGAAGGAAGGAAGGAAGGAAGGAAGGAAGGAAGGAAGGAAGGAAGGAAGGAAGGAAGGAAGGAAGGAAGGAAGGAAACATTTCTGCAGAAGAAACAATTGACTTACCCATCATTAACTATGAGTTTTGATTTCCTATAGGTTTTGGGCACAGTCAATATAGATGACCATGGTTCTTTTTGGCACTGTGTCTTGTTGCAGAACAGAGTATTTTCTGAATTGATATACATGGCTTTCTGAACAAACAGTAAAATTAATAATCAGGAACTAATCATGAATCCAGCCATCAAAACTAACTGTAAACAAGTTTAGAAGTATTATTACATTTAGGGACTATTGCCCGTGCAGTATTTTTTATGGATGCAAACAATTACAGTTCAGAACAACAACAAAAACCCACAGCATTTCAGTATGGATATTTTTATTTATTCATAAATCTTTCAATTGTATGTTGAGAAAATAAATAACCAAATCTATTTGCAGATATCTCTCCTATATATATCTGTTTCTTGCTCAGAGAATACTTTCAGTGAAATCCTATGCTACATACATCTATCAAAAAAAGTGTACCTGAATTCAGTAAAACTTTCTTCTAGATAATACATGCATAAGATGACAACCTGAGCATAATCTTATGAATTTTGAGATACAATTCTATACAAGATTACAAAGAAGTTTAAGTTTTATTGAACTCAGAGAAGAATAGGATTAATCAGTGAAATATGTGTGACTTTACAAAATGAGACTTCAATGTAAGTATATCCCCATTTGTATATTCTCTACAAGGGTTGGACTACCATTCTTCTATTTTCTAAACTTCACTGTAGATGAAGGGAGTTGTTCCACCAGTTAGAGGGTACCAGTTTAGGAAGAGTTCATGGTCATATATCTATAAACAATCCTTGTAAATTAGGAAAAAAGTAATAAGCTAAACACTTCTGAAGATACTTTACAAATAAATTGTTTTTTAAATGTAGAAGTATAAATCTAATATTAGAAGAGAATGTTTATCAAAAGAGGCAGAGAGAAAGTGATAGCGAGGAAATACATATTACATTGCCTCAGACAAATTTTCACAAATCAATTTTCAATGAACTCTTCTCCAGTTCACATAGTTGGGATGTCAGTAGAATCAAAAGTTTTCTCACCTGATACTCAAATTCTAAAGGGGGTGGGATGCCAGGAAAGACTTTTCCAAACAATCTAAATCAGGGGGGGGGGGAGAATGACCTGTGGACTTCAACTCCCAGAATTCCTGAGCTAGCCATAGTTCCCCATCCCTGATCTAAATGGATAGGGCTATAAATGAACAAAATGGATTTTTAAACACGTTACTTTAAATACATTATGATCAGAACTTACACTGAAATCTCCAGGATGTAGATATGATCTAATCTCATTCTTGTGTTTTCTTCTTGAGCTTGTGGAAGACGAAGGGTTGCTACCATTTGTCTTGCTAGAAGTTAAACCATCATTACAGAAATTATACTTTGATGCATCAGAGAAGGGAGAACTAGGTGACTGAAGCACTTTCTCATTTTTATTTATTGATGTTGCCAAACTACAAATGGAAATTACAGTAATGGACAGTCAAAACCCTCAAAATGAGGAACATATATTTTTTATATTATGATCATTATTAGCTTTAGTGTAACTTCATGATGAACTTGGTTAATTTTTGGGGGGGGAAACAGGTTTTAGCATGAGTACCAAAAGTACAAGCTTCAAATATATGGTTAATGTATAATAAAAATACTTATATAGAAATGAAGACTTGCTTTAAAGATTGGTTGGAAAATAAGATGTGGCTTTTAAAAATAAATTTAAGTTGTGGAGCACTGCTTTACAGTTACAAGTGACATTTTATAAAATCAAATGGACTAAACAGAGAATATGTGTTTAGAATTTCTCTGCATTTGGTAAACTCAGCACTTAAATAACAATAACTTAAAGAGCTGTGATGGCACAGTGGTTAGAATGCAGTATTGCAAGCTAATTCTGTTGACTGTCAGCAGTTCAATTTTCACCGGTTCAAGGTTGACTCAGTATTTTATCCTTGAGGTCAGTAAAATGAGGACCTAGATTGTTGGGGACAATATGCTGACTCTGTAAACCGCTTAGAAGGGCTGTAAAGCATTATGAAGCGGTATATAAGTCTAAGTGCTATACTATTGCTATTAATACAGAACCCAAGGAGACAGAAATATATAATAACCTAGTTAACAGAGACAACAAAGAAAATAAACCAAATCTTCTAATACCAAATCTGAACTGCAAAAATCTGGATGCCCATGGGATAGAACCAAAGAGATTTTTTATATCTCTTTGATATATGTGGACTTTTCTAGTCCAGATCTGATAGTCCTAGTTCTAAGTATTAGGACCATTTTAGGGCAATCCGCAGCCCCTGAGCCCAAATAATCTTCTCAATATACTCCTGTTAAAATTATCTGCTTGTATCTGGCTCTTGCACAGATGATATCTTAAAACAATGTTATTAGGTTTAAAGAACAAAATTCAATGTATAAAGTGGTATACAGATACAGTAGAAAGAAGGGTGGGATTGCAAGTATAGAGAAGTCTAGGGAATAAGGTTGATGTAAACTAAATTTAGCTATATTGCCTTTCCTTTAATTTGTGTTATTTATTTCTTTGGCTACTTTTTTAATTTCTTTTTTGTGCTTTGCTTAATGTTGTTTAGACTGAAAGGGAAGAGCAATATAGGTATGTATAAAGTAATAACAAATGATTTATGTAAAAAGCAAATAATAGTCCAAGATAGTGGCTAAATAGTTCGCTTATACTTATTTTTAATGTTGGTTATGGCTTTTCTTTATGATTTTTTATAATTGTTTTAGACAATTTTGCAGACAGCAAACTTTAGACTACATCACCTTCATTGTCATAATATCCATTAAGCATACTTTATATCTTTCCCAAGAAAATATTTCTGTCACTATTACATTTTATTTCTAAGCCACTCAAATTACATTTTTTAACTGGGATCTCTTGCTAGTCCATCAATTGAGTTAGCTAGTGCAATTAGGACTGAGGCTATGCAGAAACACAGCTGAGCTAGCTATTCCCTGATGGCTATGATTTCACATGTAATACTGAACACAATTACTTTATCTCATGGCCATGTTATTTTGTGACCTCCCTTAATTTAAGCTGCAATACACAGAAGTTCCTAGATGCTGTCATGTAGTGTCATTACCAATAGGAGTGGGCTTTGTTGGTCTCTGGTTTGGACTGTAGTCCATGGGAAAAGATACATAAGGAAAGACTGAAATCAGACACTCTGCAATGGATTCTGGTAAATCAACACCATCATTAAAATCTTAGCCTAAATTAACAGTAAGATAGGAAACTGCACTAAATCAAATCAGTTCATCACTCCATTCTGGACACTCTGGCAGACACCAGGTCCTCAAGGTCTTACATGTCATCTATTAATTAATAATTTTAATTCATGAAGACAAGACATTCTTCATGCAGGTCATGAGTTTAATTTATTCTGATTCTTCTAAGGTTTTAGGATGAATCGTTGCATAGAACTTCAATCTAACTAAAATTAGGAACTAACCTAATACTTAGTAAACTGAAAGAGTCCACTATTCTACCCAGTCAGATAGGGTGGGTGTACTTCAGGTCATTCCCTTAAATGTTGTCATTTAATAGCACCCAGAAATATTCTCTATAGCAGTTTTCCCCTCATGGAGTGATGTTCCCCTTATGATCTGGCAGGCCTCCATGTTCCTAGCCTTTGAGAAGCCTTAAAGAACTAGGTCAAGTATTGAGTAGGGTGAGGTTGGGGTACAGTGGATTCAAAGTGGATGTATGGTGGAGTGTTTACCTTTGGGAACTTTTTGTTACAGTTTTATGATTTTTACGTTTTTATTGTTATTTTCTGAGCTGCCCAAGATTATGGCATATAAAATGGGTGGCCCATATAAGTCTTTTAAATAAACAAATACACTGATGTGATGGAATGTTAGCAGGACCATAGCTACTGAGGAAATCAAAAAGAAATTATCAACCTACTTCATGAAGTGTCATTTTGAAATACAGGAAGTCCTTGAAAATACTTCAAAAGCATGGTTTCTTTTTGCCACCCTTGTTGGTGAAAATTAATTGTATTAAAAGGAAAGAGCCACCATTCTAGTTCAAAAATACCAATACATTATAGTTTCATTTTAACAAATCAAAGAGGATGAGAAATGAGATTATCTTGGAAATATAAGTCAATTTTATTATTTTTATTTATTAAATTTATATTGTTATTTTCCCAATCAAGTTCTGACTATATTCTGTTCCATCCTAAAATTCATGTCAAAGTGGCAATTTTAATTAACCAATTTAGCACAATTATTACTCAATTACATCAATATCATTATGCATATTCTGGTTATTCACAGTTTGAAAATGTTGACCACATTGTGGTATTTCTAGCACAATGTTTCACTTAATCAATGATTCCAGGCATGTTTTGGGGTATTTTATACATATACAAACTGGCAGATGAGTTTTTGTGAATACATAAAAATGTTTTCTCAGCCCTTGATACCCATTATGTCATTGTTGACATTGTTTAGTTGGACCAAAACCATGGATATCAAGAGTGATGAAAAATAAGAGTGATGAAAAATAAGTATGATGATCAAACTGAGTTATTATAACTAAGTTATCAGCAGTTGACCACAAACGTATTCTGACAAACGGCTTTTTATTCTTTTAATATTAAATAACAATTTTACATCAAATATTAGATAGCCAGATAATACATACCTTTTTTTAATGATTTTGAAATGGTTTGGTGAAGAAATAACTTGGGCTGAAGGAAGTAAATTGGAGAAACATTCTTGCTCAGTGTGAATCTTCTTAGTCTCTCTGTTTTCATCCTGATTTTCATACTAACGGAAAAAAATACCTCATATGCATGGTATTTTGGTATAAAATTATAGAAATCTTGTAGAATTTGTATTTTACAAGTTTGGTAGTTAACACTGAAATTAACTATTATTTTATATTAATTGTGTTAACTTATGTTAACTAATTAATTAATTTTCTGATGTATACCAAATCTTTTAGCTCAATAGTTGAAGCTAACAGGGGCATCTGTAGAGGAAGATTAAAAACAGTCAAGATGGCAGTCCTACTTCTTATTTACATGCATTGCACATAAAAAAAAGCAGTGAGCTTTCAATTGCATAGTTGGACTGCTCTCTTGACTTTCTGATAACCCCTTTGCCCTAGAGGCAAATGGTACATGGTTATGAAGCTTTCAAGATAGAGGTCCCAATCCAGATAATGAAGAAAGCTACAAAGAAAAGGAACTTGTAGTTTCCCTCTTGGTTTAACAAGCCACTTGTGGTCTATTCCAAAGCAGTGATGCTTTAGTGAAAGTGGATTGTAGAAGATTGTTTTTTTTTTCACTCCATTAAGATTCTATGTAAGATCCATTCAAACTTTGTGATCTTAGTGAACTATCATGTACACAAGCTTATAAACATATTATTGCAATTCTATCCCTGGTCCATACTTCCAGCAAGGAGAGACTTGCCTACATATCCCAGTGTATCATCTCACTTTTTCCACCTGGGAACAAAGAAATAACTGGTGTCATTATTCATATTAATATGCCCTACCATTAGCTGCTGTTGTCTGCAGCTGGGTGCAGAAAGCATAGGAGCAACAGCTGCTATCAAATGACACAGCCAGACAGCCATGTACTGGTCCTTAAGCCAGCAGAAAAGGATGCCAACATAAAAACTATTGCCAAGCCCTCTTCTGCTTTAGTATCAAGGCTGACAAATGATGCTGTCCTTACAGTTTTAACATAGGACAAGTTAAGGATAGTGATGGATAGATTTCTTTAGCTTCATTTCTCCCACTAGCAAGTGTCACCTGCAGGAAGGAAAAATTATCACCAATTGCTCTCCTGAACATGAAGTGCAGCAGGGGCTTGGAGAAGAAGTGACTTGTGACAGATAGCTAGATTTAAGGGCTTAGCCATCTGTCAAAACCTGCTACTTTTCATGGAGCACAGGACAGTACTTTACTGTGTTTGTCTGGCTATGTCTGGAGTCATCAACATTTTTATTTTCAAGCTATTAATCATGCAGATGAAATTCTTATTTGCCTGAATGAAATTTAATCAGCAGAGCAAAGCTGGGATCCTCACTTCACTAAGGTATTTTCTCTTAAAATACTGGGTCAATTTAACAAACTTTAGACGAGTCACTGTTTCTCATCAGCCTTAGCTCCTACTATGTCTTCTAATTTACAACACTCTATGACAGTGGTGGCGAACCTATGGCACGCATGCCAGAGGCGGCACTCAGAGCCCTCTCTGTGGGCAAGCACGCTGCCACCGCCAGCAGCTCACACAGGTCCATTAGGCCACCGCCGCTGCCCGGAGAAGCAGCCCCACCCAGCATAAAGTAGGCAAAGCGGCTGGCTAGCAAGCTTGAGTAGAGATGGTAGAACACGCCCACGCCCAGCAAGCCAAAAGCCACCCCGAGCAGGGAAAGCCAGATTCCCATCAGTGCCATGGCCCCCAGTCCCAGCTAGGATTGTGTGCCCCCCATCTCTGCTGAGCCTCGGCGGCCAGCCACCCAGCAGAGAGGGGGGGCACACAATCCTAGATGAGACTGGGGGGCCAATGGGGATCTGGCTTTCCCCATTCGAGGTGGCCTTTGGTTTGCTGGGTGTGGGTGTGCTCTACCACCTCTACTTGGGCTTGCTAGCTGGCCGCTTTGCCTCCTTTGTGCTGGGTGGGGCTGTCGCTCCGGGTGGCGGTGGCGGCCTAATAAACCTGCACAAGCTGCTGGCAGCGGCAGCCCAAGGTGGGGCCAGGGTGCGTCAAGTGCACGAGGGGAACAGGCTCCACACTCGGGCTAAGGGCAATATCTGTGAGGGGGCCAAGGAGATGACCAGCAGTGACCTGCTCTCCAATCTCAAGCAAAAACAGATGGGACGGAGTAGGTGTGTCTGGTGGTCTGCATCATGTGCCTCCCCCCTTCCCTACTCCGCCTGCTGCTGGAGGGCTGGCCCAGTATTGGCAGTGGGCTGTAGAACCCCAGAGTGCGTCAGTCGAGGAGCCGGCAGGCTGTAGCTGCTGACGGACACCATTAGCCCCCATGCACTCACTGGCCTCTATATGCAGGAGCCGATGGTGTCAGGCAGCAGCCACCCCAGCCCCTGCCTCACCTTTCCTTGTTCTGCGGCAATGGCACCCCCACCCTGCCCCCTGCCTCACCCAGCAGGACGAGCCTCCTGCCCACCACTCCACCCACTAGAGACCCCCTGGATCTCCCTCATCCATGCCCAGCCCCCACAGGTATCCCCCCACAAGGAACATTGAGGTGGCCACGCCCACCCCGGTCATGCCCACCCAGTCTGCCATGCCCACCGCAGCCATGCCCACCCAGTGGGCCATGCCCACTCTGTGGGCCACACTCCCCCTGAGGGCACCACAATGCTGATGCAGCCCGAGGTGGGGCCAAGGTGCATCAAGTGCACGAGGGAAACAAGCTCCACATGCGGGCCAAGGGCAACATCTGCGAGGGGGCCAAGGAGATGACCAGCAGTGACCTGCTCTCCAATCGCAATCACCTCTGGCACACGTGCCATAGGTTCGCCACCACTGCCCTAGATGATAGGCTCAAGATCCAGATGAATCTCGACAGACATGAACACTGGGCCCTAGCTACCAAAATGAAATTCAATGTAGAGAAAAGTAGTCTTACAGTTAGGCAAGAAAAACCAAAAGTACACATACAGATTAGGTGAAACGTGGCTTAATAGCAGCAACTGTGAGAGGGATCTTAGAGTCCTAGTAGACAATCAATTAAATATGAGTCAACAGTGTGTGATGGCAGCCAAAAAAGCCAATGCAGTCCTAAGTTGCATCAACAGAGTGACTGAATCAAGATCACGTGAGGTACCAATACCACTCTATAAAGCCTTAGTAAGACCACACCTAGTATACTGCATCCAGTTTTGGTCACTACACTATAAAAAAGATATTGAGACTTCAGAAAGAATGCAAAGAAGAGCTACAAAGATGATTAGGAGGCTGGAGGCTAAAACATATGAAGAATGATTGCAAGAACTGGATATGGCTAGTCTACTGAAGAGAAGGACCAGGGGTGACACGATAGCAATGTTCCAATATTTGAGGGGCTGTCACAGAGAGAAAGGGGTCAACCTATTCTCCAAAGCAGTTGAAGGCCAGACAAGAAAAAATGGATGGAAATTGAACAAGGAGAGATTCAACCTAGAAATAAGGAGAAATTTTCTGACAGTGAGAATAATCAACCAATGGAACAGACTGCCTTCAGAAGCTGTGTGTGCTCCAAGACTGGAAGCTTTCAATAAGAGACTGGACTGCCACTTGTCAGAAACGGTATAGGGTCTCCTGCTTGAGCAGGGCACTGGACTAGATGACCTACAAGGTCCCTTCCAACTCTATTATTCTGTATAGCGTCTGTAAGTTGTTCTGTCCTATTGTTTTAATATCCACAGATAAATACGAAGATATTTCTTTGCACACACATCTGTGTATGAGTTAAGAAATTTAGTTTTCAAATTATGTGTGTCTGAGACTCAGAGGTGTTCATAGAATCCAATGTGTTTCACGGATGAAGGCGAATATACGTGTCCCAGGTTAATGTTGCAGGATCCAATCTGGGTCAGTCGCCAGGACCAGAGGTTTGTCTTCCGAGCTTTTGGACTCATGCTGGAGTCCATCTTCAGGGAGCTTCCCTCTAGCCTCTCTCTAGGTTAGAGAGAAGATCCCTGAGGATGGGGGCTCCAGTACGAGTCTGAAAGTTCAGAAGACAAAATCTCTGGTCCCAGCGACTGACCCAGACTGGATCCTCCAATTATTTTGTTTAATGATGGATGTTGTGACAGTGTGAGGTAAGCTTCTCCCTGTTTGTACATGCTTGCTTATATGGTGTATATAAAAAAGGACACTTATTTTGTCATTTTCCCTTCCTGTATGACCTACCAGGGCTCCGTGTAAATAGAAATCTCTTTATTTCTCCATGTGGAGAGAAGACGAGTGGCGCTGGAATAATTATACAACAATGGACAATAATATGTAAAGAGAGTTAAGAACTGGACCAAATGAATTCCTATCATTGGTTTAAATCAGTCTGGATCTATGAACAGCTGGAATTACCCTCTTCTACTTTTGATACATGAACACCATTATTCCCCCCAAAAATGAGAACGGATGGTAAAGGAACAGTGGTAAAATAATGTTATTTACCTGAAAAGATATTAGCATCTCTGTCTAAAAGCAGATGATGCAGAAAAATACCCTGCCCTCCAAAATCCAGGAGATGCTTATCATTTATTGAAGTCCTTTCAGTCCCTACAATCTTTTTCCTCTCTTAATCTCAAACATCCTTTGAATGATATATAAGAATTTTTTATTTTAATTCTTTTACTTTTCTCCCCTTTAATAAATATGTTTTTATCTTATTTTAATTTATTGCTGTATCCTTGTAGTTTAATATTTTTACAATAAGCAATTCTAAGATGTGATATCATAGAACATGGTATAGAAATTTATTACACAAATAAAAATACATAAGTTCAAAAACCAGTAATGCTAGGGTAAATAAAAATATAATCATGTTCCCAGTGATTACAATCAAGAAATCACTTATGTTTCTCAAATTGGTCGCATGTTATTTTGTCAGTCTTAAAAACCATTTGTGAGGGAAGAACTCTATCTCAAAAGAATAAGACAACAGCCATATTGTAAGCAGAAAAATACAGATTTTATGTCAAGCATCACATATTTTTCTCAGATGGTCAAGCATCTGTAGTTGATCATTTGGCTTTTAGGAAATGTAAACCATAACAGTGCAGAAAGCTACCAGGACTGATAAATGGACATTTAAGATTATGTAGACTTAACCCAAATTTGAAACCATGCCTGGTCTGGCTCCATTCTCTTTAACTCTGGATTCAGTTGAGGTAGTGGCATCTGCAGGAGTGCCAAAAATTCGAGAAGGCAAGCATGTTGTCACAATTAAAGCCTACCCCTCTTGTATATGCATTGTGTCATTTGCACATAGATACAAAAGAGGCAGGGCTTCAGTTGGGATGCTACACTTCCATCTTGCAGATTTTGAACCCCTCCCAACTTCCATGAATTGAGATAATGCAAGAAAAGGTTTGTGTATCTTTGCACCAAAATATCTAAGACACACACACACATATATATCCAGTAGATGCTATTATGAATTCCTTTTCAAGACCAACATATAAAGCCTACCTTTCGTTTTCTTCTGGATTTAGGAACCACTTTTTCCGCTGGCAGGTCAGCAGCAATATTATGTTGCATTTGTATGGCTTCTTTAACTCCTGTATTCATGATCAGCGGCTCCTCAAGTAATTGCTGAGGGATTCTGGAGAGCAGAGTCAAATCAATTTTGACCCAAAGTGCTTTGACATCATCAGTATCTTTTAGAGGAGACAAAAGCTCATTCCTACCAAAAGGAACCAGTGTGTAGAACTGTTCTTCCAGCTCTTTTGCTATATCATTGCTAGTTCTGGTGTTGATGGAACCAAACGCACCACAATTATTGTTTGTTTTGCAACCATTATTGCTAGAATTCTTTTGTTTCTGTTCACTTCCAGCTGATGCTGAAGCTGCAGTCTGCAGTTTGGGTGAAGGACACTCCTCTTGTTCAGACTGGGAATCTGTGTCAGATGAAGTTGAAGATGAAGATTCCGTCTCAATAAATTCCTTGGACTTGGGCGCTGTTTTCCCTGAGCCTCTTGTGCGTCTCTTTTCAGAAGCAGTAACAGACTGTGGTTCTTTTTGTTGTTCAATGTTGTTGCTACAAGGCCTAGTCTTGGGCTGATTACAAATGTTATTATTTGCCAAATGAATTTGGTTCAAATCAAGATTGTCAGCTGCATGGTTGTTTAAGTTATCACCAGCCAGGCTACTCTCTGTCCTTCTTGGCTGTTTTTTAGATACTGACTTTGTAGCAGCAGAAGGAAGTGGTTTTTGCTTTCCTCCTCTATGCCCTGGGGCTAAGTTAGCTGTCCTAGATCTCAGTTCCTCTTTACTAAAATTCTTAATATCTTTTTCCTGGAGACTGGCTTGGCCAACGGGAGGTACATTTTCACTGTCTTGCCTTTCTTCTTTTAGTTTGCTGTAATACTGAAAGACCTCCAATCCATTTTGGTTCAAAGCAGAAGCTTTATGAGGATTAACCTTATTTAACCATTTATCCAACTGCCACTTGTTAGGAGATGGCTGTTCAGGCTAGAAAATAAAGTTTAAAACACATGTTACACTCTTTTTGGGTCCCTGTAGTTTTCTTGGCAATATTTCAGAAGTGCTTTGCTATTGCCTTCTTTCTAGGGCCCATTGTCACCCAGCTGGCTTTGTGCCTAAGGCAGAACTCTGGCCAGTGGCAACACGATCCCGAGGGCCAGCCTTAATGAAAGGGTTTGGAACCCCGAGAGGTGGCACTTAGCGGCAGCAGGGAGGGATCTAAGAAGGAGGAAATTATGTACCTTCTTAGAGGGATGTTTTGTTAAATTTTTAGGGGGTTCGGGGTTGGCCCGAGGGGAACCTGGGGAGTCCTCTCGGAGGCCAAGGCCAGTCCCGTCG